TTTTCCCACTGTATGTGTGAGTAAATCTGTATTTTTCGTTGCGAATTCAACAACTAATTTCAAACTTTTTTGTTTTTTTGATATAAAATCTGTATTTTTATAAATTGGCAATTTATTTTTGCTTTGGTTGTTTCGTTTTCTTGTTTCCATGGTGCTTTTCAGTTTTCACACCATTATTTAGCTTATTTTAGTCGGTTTTCCTGACCTAAAACATCCTCGTTCCCAGGGCTTCTCGGCCGAGAAGCCCTGGGAACGAGGATGGACCTAAAACTGCTTTTTAACTGCAGTTTTCGAGGCAGTTTTTAGCCAATTTAATTCCATACATGTTAGAAAATTTTGTTTTTTTATTTTCTATTTAATAAAATCACTTTGATGTTTGCCTTATAAACTTAAACTGTTCATTTTAAGCCCGTTCTCCACTACGCGAATTTGTTCGCGCGACGCGAAGCGAAAACCGAAATCCGGCAACGTGATTGGTCGGCGAAAAAATTCGCCGCGAAAAAGTAGGATCGCTTCCTACTTTTTATCTGTTCGCGCGAATAAATTCGCCTAGTGGAGAACGGGCTTTAATGAGTTATTCATGTGTGTAAAACTCTTGTCGATAGGGGATATAGAGATATTTTGAAAGATTGAGTGACTTTGTGTTTTGTTTTGTCACTCCTTGTCATTTTACAAAAACAGCTAAAAATGAGCTAAAAATATTAGCTGGATGACAAACCTGATTTGTTATGCGAAAATCTAACGCTGGTCAAGGAACGCGATTAAATTTATGTTAAAATTCGAAGACTGACGAATAGAAGAGAAAAAGATGACGAAAAGGAAATGTGAATAAGTCCAAATTACAAATATCGTCAGTATACTGACGCTTTAAAATATGCAGTATGTTGCCTAGTTTCCGAACGTCAAAGTTGCTATATGCTATATATTAATTTTAGAGATTGGTAGAAGGTCAAAACTTTTACATGTACAGGTGGCAAGTACAATTGTCAGTTATCTTATTCAGAAAGATGAGCCGTTAGAATGATTTACTTCGCGATATCGAAAACGAGTACATTGAATTAGGCATTTTTACTATTGAGCATTTACTATTTATATATTAAAGAACTTTGAAAAGTCACAAGAATACCTTTGTTTAGCTATTAACTGAATGACGTCACTGCCATCTAATTAGTCAACCGCATTCGGCCCGCTTTTTGTTTGGCATCACATTCATTTACTTAAACCAGAGTAAGTCTCATTGATATTTCACTTGGTTGATATAAATTCAAAAATTTTAGAAGTCAATACACATACCTCTGAATATTTTAATACTTTCCCTCAAAATATCTTTTGAGCGAGTGGGCAGGGGAATGGTTAACGACTTGTTTTGCTTGGACGGCGACGGATTCAAGATTTCTTTTTTCAAACGATCAAAATCCCACTTATTTGGATCATAATTGCTAACCAGTAATAGTACGCAACATTCGGGGAAAAGTTATATGAAATCAACTGTAATATTAACATGTTGCCTGCTATTTCAATGTGATAGATATTAGTATTAAATTATATGACAATTTCTTATGTGCTTCTTGTATTATCTATTCTTAATAGAATAATATTAGGCAATTCAGCTTAATGCCTGGTTGCAATGGCAATGCATTGTATAGCTCATTAATAATTAATGAGGAAAACACAAAGAAAAATCATAAGCGTGTCGTATCTTTATATGTGATAGAGATTTCCTTGATTTACATAAACGTTAACTTTGATTTTCTCGAAATACACAACGAATTTTTTGAAAATTACTTCGCCAATGAACTTACTAGATCGATCGTTTCTGAAGCAATTTAAAACATAGCATTTAGCAGTGTGTTTTATCAGACCTAAAGACACTCGGCTTCGCCTCGTATCTTTATATCTGATAAAACACTGCTGCATGCTCATGTTTTAAATAGTACATAAACCAAACTATATATCAATCTAAACCTACCTATCTGTTCTCTAATATGCAATAATAACTATATGATGAATAAATAACTTTTGGGCAAAGCATGTTGACCGCAGGGCCGTACGCAGGATTTTTCCACCAGAGGGGG